GGCTTTGGACTGGATGGAACCAGTTTTGGATCCTGGCTCTCACCAGTATTAACTCTGCAACTTGGACAAAACACCTAACCTCAGATGCTACCTCATCTGGAGAACAGACAGAGTAATATCTGTCTTGTGGGGGATTGAAAGGACTTTATTCATAACTAAAGTTCAGTGCCTTCTACACACACTTTGATTTTAATCTCATAAAACTTTGCGAGAGTCCGACATTTTAGCGCGGTTGTAGTGTTCGCCGCTGCGCTCCGGGCTTCGCAATGCCGCCCAAGGACGACGAGAAGAAGAAAGACGCCGGAAAGTCGGCCAAGAAAGACAAAGACCCAGTGAACAAATCAGGGGGCAAGGCCAAAAAGAAGAAGAGGTCCAAAGGCAAAGTTCGGGACTAGCTCAATAACTTAGTCTTGTTTGACAAAGCTACCTATGACAAACTCTGTAAGGAAGTTCCCAACTATAAACTTATAACTCCGGCTGTGGTCTCTGAGAGACTGAAGATTCGAGGCTCCCTTGCCAGGGCAGCCCTTCAGGAGCTCCTTAGCAAAGGACTTATCAAACTGGTTTCAAAGCACAGAGCTCAAGTAATTTACACCAGAAATACCAAGGGTGGAGATGCTCCAGCTGCTGGTGAAGACGCATGAATAGGTCCAACCAACTGTACATTTGGAAAAATAAAACTTTATTAAATCAAAAAAAAAAAAAAAAACTTCGCGAGGTAGAATATTCATACCACGATTATCTTACTCGAAAAGACGGAAACCCAGAGAGGTTAAGTAAGTCGTCCAAGGTTACACACGTAGTAAGAGGTGACCAAGGATTTTTATGGAGATTTGTTTGGCTCCAATGCCCATGGCCTTAGCCACTGCAGTATTGCAGGACTGGTAAAAATGTAACACAAGAGGCCAGACGTGGTGGCTCACGCCTGTAATCCCAGCACTTTGGGAGGCCAAGGCGGGCAGATTGCTTAAGGTCAGGAGTTCGAGATCAGCCTGGCCAACATGCCAAAACCCTGTCTCTACTAAAAATACAAAAATTAGCCGGGCATGGTGGTGCGCACCTTAGTTCCAGCTACTTGGGAGGCTGAGGCACAAGAACCGCTTGAACCTGGCAGGCAGAGGTTGCGGTGAGGCGAGATCATACCACTGAACTCCAGCCTGAGTCTCAAAAAACAAAACAAAACAAGCAAACAAAAATGTAAGCCAAGAGCCCAGCATGCTGCCTGACACTCAATAAACAGCACTTGGTTAAAGGAAGCATCAGATTCAGAAAGACAGCCATTTCCTTGCAGCCCAGCCATGAAGAGGGATGGAGTGGCTGGGTTAGATGAGAGGAAATGAATAGCCCTTAAGAGATGGAAAGCCCAGAGAAGCTGAGGCAGACACACAGACACATGAGCAGCGGGCTTCGGCTCACCTGGCAGCACTCCTGTGGGGCCCTCTGATCACCCCCACTCGCCCCAGGTGGGAAAGCAGGTGTCAGACCCATCAGGAGCCACTGTGCTTCTCTTCCCTTCAACAAAACCTCTCATGCTCTCTCTATCTCTTTTTTTTTTTTTTTTTTGAGACAGAGTTTCACTCTTGTTGCCTGGGCTGGAGTGCAATGGTGTGATCTCAGCTAACTACAACCTCTGCCTCCTGGGTTCAAGCGATTCTCCTGCCTCAGCCTCCCAAGTAGCAGGGATTATAGGCATGTGCTACCACACTGGTTAATGTTTGTATTTTTAGTTGAGACAGGGTTTCACCATGTCGACCAGGCTGATCTTGAACTCCTGACCTCAGGTGATCCGTCCGCCTCAGCCTCCCAAAGGCCTGGGATTACAGGCGTGAAACACCATGACTGGCCCACTCAACTTCCTTTTTAGGTCAACACCTGTTCAGTTTTGGCTTTCCCATTGATGGCCATGCCTCAAACGTTAGAAGTAAATGTTCTGACCCTATAATGAACAATTTTTCTACACATGAACAAACATGACTTCTAAGTAAACCACTATGAGGACTCCGAATGCTGAAGTTTCTAGCTGCCAAATTCTTGCCCTAAACAGATCATACATTGCCCCTAAGATGACATAAATTTACTCAGTTATGGGCACTGAACATTAAGAAATATCCTAGAACTGAAATAATCAAAATGTTAACAACCTTCTCCCTGCCAAGTTTTCCAGCCCTCCTCATGAATCGCAGTTGTGATGCACTTTTACAAAGCTGGATGAAATGCCCTGGGCCCTGGCTGGGGATCAGTTGTGTGAGGCTTCCTCAGAGAGCCCAAACACAGTGGGGACAGTGGACACTTGTCCTTCGAGTGGTGTGAAGATCAGGAATAGGGCTGAGGGAGGTTGTTTGTTATGTTTGTGTTTTTTGACCTGCAGATCTCAGATATCCAAACAAGTGTCATTCTCATTTGGAGATGGTGACTGGAGGTGAGTGGGGCAATCTTGGGACTTTTTTGAGTTCTCAAAAAGCATTTGGCAAAACATTTTAAATGGCCTACTTGGCCTGCAACACATACTCCTTGGTATAAATTCACTGCTAGTAATTTTTAAGGTGCAGATTTCATTTCTGAAACAAACTGATTGTTCTTTCAAGTCAAGTTTAGCTGAAAATAGATGGCGAGGCTGGAGAACAGAATTTCAAGTTTAAATGACAGACTATGACCACCTTTAGAGCAGAAATGATACCTCCAGCATTTTGCCCAGAGCTTGGAACAAAGTAAGTGTACAATAACTCTTTTGTTTTCCACAGGGTGGATGAGGTGTGACTTTCAGGTGTTGCTCTTCTATGCTTCACAAAGTCATTACTTAGAAGATGATAGTTGGCCAGATGTTGTGGCTCATGCCTATAATTCCAGCACTTTGGGAGGCCAAGGTGGTGGATCACTTGAGCCCAGGAGTTTGAGGCCAGCCTGGGCAATATGGCAAAACCCTGTCTCTACCAAAAAAAAAAAAAAAGAAGAAGAAAAAATTAGCTGGGCATGTTGGTGCACATCTGAGGTGGAAGGATCACTTAAGCCCAGGAGATGGAAGTTGCAGTGAGGTAATATCATGCCACTGCACTCCAGCCTGGGAAACAGGGTGATACCCTGGCTCAAAAAGAAAAAAAAAAAAGAGCTGGGCGTGGTCATTCACGCCTGTAATCCCAGCACTTTGGGAGGCCGAGGTGGGCTGGTCACAAGGTCAGGAGTTCGACACCAGTCTGGCCAATATGGTGAAACTCCGTCTCTGCTACAAATACAAAAATTAGCTGGGCATGGTGGTGGGCCCCTGTAATCCCAGCTACTTGGGAGGCTGAGGCAGGAGAATCAGTACCCTACTTGAGAGGCAGAGGTTGCAGTGAGTTGAGATCATGCCACTACACTCCAGCCTGGGTAGCGATACCCAAGGAGGACTGAACCATGAGCAAGCCCATTCTGACTTTTATAGATTCCATAATAGGTTAGCACATGGTGTTTTACACAGGGTAGAAATTAAACACATATTTTCACAATTAAAGTTTATAAAGGAAAACAAAAATCCAATCCTGAGTTACAGGGCAACACTTTGGAAAACAGATACTGAGACAACCCTCTTTCTGTCTTATCCAGACACACAGAATCTGATGTAGCAAGGACAGAAATCAGTGCTTTGGAAACATAGAAAGACAGCTGAAAGAAAAAGTTTAGAATGCTGATTGTAATAGAACAGGTAAGTTTATGGAAATAACAGTTTATATTTTGAAGTGGTTTTGGGAGGTTTCTCATCATCGTTGATCTTAGCTGTAGACTTAATGTCTTGATTGCTAACAACATACCATCCTCCAATCCACCTGTCCTCAGCATTTGCATGGTTTACATGATTCTAAAAATGAAGTTATTAAAAGTAGTAAAAGTCAAATGTTGCCTCTACAGTTTAAATTCAGGTTTCCCATCAAAAACCACATTTGGAGGCTCTGGATTTAAATTGGAAACAAATGAAAGATAATTAGGAAGATTCAGGAGAAACTCAAAGAAGCAATTCATAAATGTGTTAAAATAACTGTCATTGTCACTATAGTTGGCTGCTTAGATACACTGAGTAAACCCCATCATGTTGTAAAAGAGACTGTAATTCTCATTTTTCAAATGACTAAACTGAGGCTCAGAGTAGTTGAGTACTTGCTTAGGATCATACAGCTTGTACGTGGTCCAAGCCAGGGCGCGACAACAAGCCCACATCTACCTCCTCCCAGTTCACTGTAATGCCTCCCTTACACATTTTATTTAGAAGCCTGGTGCACATGTTCAAGAATTAAATATACATAAGCAAAGCAGAAAGCTATATTAGTCTATGGTCTTGAAGGATTGGAGTGTCAGGTTTCAGCTCTGCTGAAGAGAACCAAACAGGGCATTGGCCCTTCTGGACCTCAGGGTCCCCCCTTTCTAGACAGAAAACATAGTGACCTACTTTGAAGGACTCTCAGAAGCAAGCATTATAAAGAAGGCTGCAAAGACAAAGCTTTTGGCTAAAAATCAAGGAGGTAATGAACCCATGGAACAAGACAGGTGCCCTCTCTGATCCAAACCTAGAACAAGGGGGAAAAAGACCAAAAGTGCCCGGGTCTCCTGTCCAACTCCAGTCTCCTCCCCCTTATCCCCCACATATACTTTTCATATGTGAAAATTCTCTTTGAAATCACTGGAATTCTATTTGGAGAAGAAATACAAGGGAACAGGAGGTCAAGCTACAGCCACAAGGCTTGGTCAAGTAATTTATGTATCACTAATCCTTTGCTTCTCCTCCTACCTTTATTTAACCAAAAGAAAATGAAAGGAGTAGAAATCTAATTCATTAATCTCTCTTTATAATCAGCCTTATAAAAAGCAGAGATGTGTTGCAGGGAATAGGAAACAGGCTTTGTGAGTCTTAGTGAATTTTAACCTACTATATTCTCCCTCTATCAGAAGCACAGAAGAGTCACGCTAAACTTTCCTCCAACATCAACATCTTAAAATGCTATATTAAAACACACACACACACACACACTTACTGTTCAGGGTTTCAATAAGCGAAGTCCAAAGTCAAGGGAATGATCTCTCTCTTTTATGAAAAACACCATATGGTCTTGGTGGATCAGGAGGCTCACTGGTCTGTTATTAATAACTGGCTTAGAGCTTTATGAAGAAACATGAGGCAGAATGTCACAGGAGGAGGCAAATGGAAAGACATTGACAGGCACAGGTGGAATAAATTATAAAAAGATACACTTATGCCCACACAGGAACTCAAAGAACCCATGAGAAGGAGATCAGTTCCTCTACAATCAATAGACCTTTATGTCAAGTGTTTGAACAGTTAAACAACCAACAAAAATATACTAAATGTCAAAAAACACCATGACTCATTTAAGGTTCTACTATCCTTGGCTCTTCTGAACAATTCTTTTCCATGGACATCTGAATATATTTTAAAATTTATACATAAAATGTACATATTTTGTTTACATGTTGTTTACATTAACTCCTCAATTTTAGAAATATGTCAATAAATAGATTTTGAAATGCACATTATCAACTTTTTAAAGTTGTTTTTACCTGTGAGCATATCAGCCGTCCTCCCTTAGAGATCCCAAAACAATTCCTGGAAATGTATAGGTATATGTTGGGGTTGGAGGCTGGATCTTGAGATTGTATCATACATAAAAAGAAACCTGTAGAATTGATGTGGTCAGAACAGAGGTGCAATTATCACCTGGCTCTGGTTTGCAGTGGCTCTCCTCTTTTGAAAACTTATACTTCAAAACCTTCCAAATTCTGTGCTGCCCCTCCTCCCCCACAAATAATACCAAATTGTTTATACTATTAACAGCATGCCTTTATACCTAATTACATTAAACACGGGCTCTGTCTGAAGTATTAAAAGAAACTGACAATTATGTGGCTGGGAGTGGTGGTTCATGCCTGTAATACCAGCACTTTGGGAGACCAAAGCAGGCAAATGGCTTGAGCTCAAAAGTTCGAGACCAGCCTGGGCAGCATGGTGAAATACAGAAAATTAGCCAGGTGTGGTGGCGCATGCCTATAGTCCCAGCTACTCAGAAGCCTGAGGTAGGAGGTTCACTTGAATCCAGGAGACAGAGGTTGCAGTGAGCCAAGATAATGCCATGACACTCCAGCCTAGGTAACAGAGCAAGACTCTGTCTCAAAATATAAAAAAGAGAACTGACAATTAGAGAAAAGTTATTGAAATGTATAAAGATACATTACTTACCTCTGTATGGAGCAATGCTTGTTAAATTGCTTTTTTTCTTTTTTTTTTTTTTTTAATAGAGACAGGTATTCACTCTATCACCCCGGCTGAAGTACAGTATCATGATCATAGCTCACTGCAGCTTTGAACTCCTGACTTTAAGCAATCTTCCCACCTTGGCCTCTTGAGTAGCTGGAACCACAGGCATGTGCCACTGCACCCAGCTACATTTTTCTTTTTTTCATTTTTTGTAGAGAAGAGGTCTTGCTATGCTCCCAGTCTGGTCTTGCATCCTGGACTCAAGTGATCCTTCTGCCTCCACCTCCCAATGTGATGGAATTACCGCCGTGAGCCACTGCACGCAGCCAATTGCTTCATTCTTAAGATTCCAGCTACTTGTCACCCTGGCTTAGACCTCGTAACTGGTCTTTTGTCAAACTAAACCTTTTTTCAGCTAAATGCTGTGATGGGTGGGGGTGGACACCTCACTACAAACCTCACACAGTGGAGAGTTATTCTACTGACGCAACTGTGAAAAAGAGAAACTAATATGCTAGTGATATCCAGTTTAATAGATGGGAGAGAAGGAGTGGAATCGGTATAGGGCCTTTCTCTTTTTCCATTCTCTGGTCAATTCAAAAATTTTGAGTATCCACTGAATATGTGTATTTTTATTTATAGAACATATGCATGTACTATTGTAAATATGTCATTTACATCATAAAATACAAATACAATTTCTTTTTTTTTTTTAATGTTGTCAGGAGAGAGCTTGAGTACAAATACAATTTCTAAAAGAAGAAATGTAAAAATAAATAGACATTCTAATGTTTTCTTAACACACTTCCAGTGGTCCATCTTTACTGATCCCTGGGGCATGGACACCCCACTCTGTAGCTGACTGATGAGTATTCAGAACACTAGGCCCACTATTAGCTGTTCTGGATTGAACTGCATCCGCTAGAGACATTTTCAAGATCAAATCCTTAGTACCCGTGAATGTGACCCTATTTGGAAACAGGGTCTTGCTGATATAATCAAGAAGAGATCATGCTGGATTCGGGTGGGCCCTAATCCAGTGACCCAAGTCCTTGTAACAAGCAGGAAATAGGGACATAGTCAGACACACAGGGAGACATCATGTAACAAAGGAAACAGATACTGGAGTGATGTGTCCACAAGCCAAGGAATACCAAGGACTGTTGGAAACCACCAGAGAAGCAAGTTAGAGGCAAAGAAAGACCCTCCCCCAGAGCCTTCAGAGGGGCCATGGTCCTGCTGACACCTCGATCTTGGTTTTCTAGTCTCCAGAACCAACACAATAAATTTCTGTTGTTTTAAGCCACCCTGTTGGTGGTAAAATTGAGCTTCGAATACTTTAAAAAGCATTTTTACAAAAAACTAATGCAAATGTTTTAAGAATTCAAATTCATAAAATTTAAGTAACTTTTTTTTTTAAAAAAGGACTACTTTAATATTTGTCTTTTGATAGAAAGAGCTGTCTTCTGAGTTCTCCAAGTTCAGCAAAATGCAGGCATACATTTGTATTCTATTTGGGTTTATTCTTCTGGAACTTAGACACTTTACTGATTGAATAAACTAGCATTATATTTCCTAGATGTTTAAGGTGATGAAAACTGGAGATGTGTGTTTAACTAAATTATTATTCTGACAAACTTTATTTTAACAATAATTATGTTTTGTGGTATGTCAGCTTGAAGACAGTCTCCAGGATCTTCTGATAACTTGAAACTTATGCTAGCTTAAGGTGATTAATGGACAGTTATTAAATACCTACATCATTTCTAATGATATAAAATATTGAAATATTAATCACTAGGCATAATTTTAAGGCTCTATGTATTTTGCCACATTGAGAAGTTGTATTATAAGGACATCTAAGCTATAAAACATTGTAAAGTGTATATTCATAAGCTTTGGTACAAAATTGTAGTGTCTGACAGCTCACAGCTATCTACTTCATAGCTATCTCTGTTAAATAAATAGAAGTTAAAAAGTCATGATTGATATTGTGAATGAGATTCTCTAGGAAAAGTAATTGCAGAGAAGAATAACTTTTATGCAACATACTCAGGATGTGTTTTTGTTAAGGGAAAGGAGCATAGTTTTGTCTTAAAGTAGAATGACTGACTTCCAGAACAATGAAGAATAGGCAGCACAAAACCTAAATGTGTAGAAACCTGTAGAAGGTGCACAGGAAGGGAATTTTATTTGCCATAGTTGAAACTGGCTAAGGTTTAGTGGCTTTATTTATAAGATTTTTCTTAAAAAGAACCTTGATATCAAATATCATGCTAACAAAAATTAAAACTGCTTTTCTCTCTGTTAAATGACAAAATTTTATTGAATTATTTATGTACTTCTTTTTTTTTTTTTTTTTTTTTGTAAAGATGGGGTTTCACCATGTTGGTCAGGCTGGTCTTGAACTCCCGAACTCAGATGATCCGCCTGCCTTGGCCTCCAAAGTGCTTGGATTACAGGCGTGAGCCACCATGCCCGGCCTTTTATTTATTTATTTTTTAAATTTATGTACTTCTTAAGAGGTTGTTAAGACTTTTCTTTACCTTCTGAGGAATCTACCTGAAAGGCAAGGATTCCGTTTTATCAGAATGATTTTCTGTGCTTTATGTTGAGTGTTTTTGATTACTTAAATGAAAAAAGTCTTCTCTTAAAAGAACTAAGGTTCTTTACAATTCTGTTACCGCCTGTGTTTTTTTTTTTTTTTAAAACTTTTCTACTGTCCCTTTGATTTTAAATTCACTGCTTTGTTTTAAATGCCACAGAAACAACCACATTTCCTTGTCAATTGCATTAGTTTTGTAATGAACTCATCAGATCTTTCACTTTTGAAAAATTATCATTAATAAATTAACCACAGTCATTTTCGATCTCTTGGCATCTAGAGATAGTTTTTTTGTTTGTTTTACTTTGATTCTTCCCTGAAAGCACTTGCAAATCAGCTATAGACCAGAGTGCTTTGACCTTAGAAATGACAGTCTCAGAGCCCCACAGAAAAAGACCATGCTGAGTACTCATGGACACAGGCTTATGAGGGTATTGCTTAAATAGGTTGGGGCCCATGCCATTGGACCATCTAGGATTTCTGGCATTCTCATTAAGAAGCTAACAGGCTCATGAGGTTACTAACCCAAGATGGAACAGAGCAAGAATAACCCTGGGCAAAATGAGGAGGAATCATCTGGGTTTTGTTTGGAATGCTGCTAACACTTTAACTTTCTCTTTTCTGGATATGAGGGCTACTTTCTCTTTTACGCTATTATCTAAAAAAATGTAGACTAACAAAAACAAAATATTTAAATTTTCTTCCTGTTCCCTCCAGAATTCGGAAACTTTTTTGAGACAGAGTTTCCCTCTTGTTACCCAGGCTGGAGTGCAATGGCACGATCTCGGCTCACCGCAACCTCCGCCTCCTGGGTTCAGGCAATTCTCCTGCCTCAGCCTCCTGAGTAGCTGGGATTACAGGCACGTACCACCATGCCCAGCTGATTTTTTGTATTTTTAGTAGAGACAGGGTTTCACCATGTTGACCAGGATGGTCTCGATCTCTTGACCTTGTGATCCACCCGCCTCGGCCTCCCAAAGTGCTGGGATTACAGGCGTGAGCCACCGCGCCCAGCCAGAAACTTTTATTGAATATTCTTATTTCCATGGCAATATAGTTATTTGCATAGGTTAAATAAGAATCTGTTCTCCTTATTAAGAGGACATAATTGAAAACATTGCTTATACAACAAAGCTTATTCTGAATAAGGCTTTGTTTAGAATGTCGTATTTGAGAATGAATCAAGATATGGCCAATAAGCCTTAAAGGAACTGAGCCTGACTTTACAGGGTAGGCTTACGGGGTTCTCAGCCTTACAGAGGAATAAGATTCTC